TATTTATTTTGTTGTTCGAGCTGCCACTGTTGCACGTTTTTTTGCAACTGCTATTGTCTCTCTTCTTGTTTCTTTTCTTTTTCCTCTAAGAACTGCTGTAATTTCTCTTCTTGTTTCTTTCTCGTTCGTCTTGTTTCTTTTCTTTTTCCTCCAACCACTGCTGTAATTTCTCTTGTTTATTTTGCTGTTCAAGCTGCCATTGTTTCAGGTTTTCTTGCAACTGCTGTTGTCTCTCTTCTTGTTTCTTTTCTTTTTTCTCTAAGAACTACTGTAATTTCTCTTCTTGTTTCTTTTCTTTTTTCTCTAAGAACTACTGTAATTTCTCTTCTTGTTTCTTTTCTTTTTTCTCTAAGAACTACTGTAATTTCTCTTCTTGTTTCTTTTCTTTTTCCTCTAAGAACTGCTGTAATTTCTCTTCATGTTTCTTTTCTTGTTCTTCTTGTTTCTTTTCTTTTTCCTCCAACAACTGTTGTAATCTCTCTTCTTATTTATTTTGTTGTTCGAGCTGCTACTGTTGCAGGTTTTCTTGCAACTGCTGTTGTCTCTCTTCTTGTTTCTTTTCTCGTTCTTCTTGTTTCTTTTGCTGCTCTTGTATTGCTACCATCAAGTCTGCTAAGCTGTAGTTTGATTTTCCGCCTCTCGTTTCCATTTTTTTTTATCGTTCCACTCTCTGACACCAATTTGTTACGTCTCCGTTTGTTAATTGATTTTCCGTAAATTCGTTCCGACGAAACTTTAGCGACACATGTCCTTTCTTAAATAAAACTGGTTTATTCTTTCCAAATACAACTTTACGATACACTCAACTTCAACAGTCGCGCTATAACAAACTATAGTTCACGTCTCACGAGCTCTACTTCAACAATACGTCTCTCTCTGACTGCAGTTCAATTACTTATTACCTACACACACATTGTCCCGTCACGTTGTCACCCTCTTATATATACCAGACTACTCTATATCTAGTAATCTCCCGACAATTCCCGAAGGTTCGAGAGAACGAGTCACGTGACCTCGCTGACGCAACAATATGTTTATGTCCGAAGTATTATCAAAATGCATAATTATGTTGTTACTGTTGTTACTAGTGGTCGGCCCGGTATGGCCAGGTGGATTCGAATCCCCATCCCACCAAACATGCTCGCCCTTTCAGCCATGGGGGCTTTATAATGCGACGGCCAATCCCACTAGTCGTTGGTAAAAGAGTAACCCAAGAGTTGGCGGTGGGTGGTGATGACTAGCTGCCTTCCCTCTAGTCTTACACTGCTAAATTAGGGACGGCTAGAGCAGATAGCCCTCGTGTAGTTTTGCGCGAAATCCATAACAAACAGACTAGTGGTCAAATAAAGAGAAAAAATAGGAGACTGCTAGCTTTAAAACTCGGAATTTGATCTCTTCAGTGGGCACAGAGAAAATAGCCCATTTTGTAGCTTTGTGTTTGCCAACTCAAACAAATATCAATTGAAATATCGATAACTTTACACGAATCTAAGGTTTTTTAATTTAAACTAATGTATGATTTAGGTGTCTCAGTATTCTACTTGAGAATTTTTTTTTGAACTGCAACTTGGAAAATTTTATAACAATTTGACTATACCGTGTTTATTTTGTTCCCACCCCTTCCTCCGGCGAAAGGGCAAAAGTCTTAATATTTATATTATTCTTGCTTCAATCAAGAAATTTTCATGAATTATAATGGAAAATACGAACTAATAAACGAAAAAAGTGTTAAGTAATATTAAGCTTATATGGTATATAGATTTCATTATATTTGAGAAAATAAACCTTCGTATTTCAAACCTAAAACAATCTTCTTTTTTTAAAAATGCATTGAAACAAACGAAAAGTAAATTGTTTGTTTTAACGTATATATAATTTCCACTGCAAAAATGGATAACCTACAGGAATTTTATAGAACTAACACTCCGTCGTTTTATCGCCATGGCGGAAGAAGAGGAAACACGGAAAACAATTAGCTTGGTAGTTAAAACTGCTAAAGAAAAGAAAACCGTTGATATAGAAGAAGATGCCAGTATAAAAAACGTAAGTTAAGGTGAAATTTCTTAAAATCGTGATTGATATTAGACTTGCTTCCTACAACTCTTTCCAAACTGGTACTACTAGTACTACTACTACTGTTAAGTTTCATAAGTTAAAGTTAAACTTAAATTTTTTTTTAGTTAAAAGTAAACTAAAAGTGAGTTACAACTTAATAAAAGTTACACACGATTTATAAATCACACTATTAGTGTTAAAGTGGTAATTCGGATAGTTTGTCGTATAACTATAATTTATATTATAAATTATAATATATCATGACAATGGGAAAGTTAAGCAATAATCTATTACGAAGGATTTTTAACTCAACGTCACAAGTTGTAAACTAGATAATTACAAGGTTAACATAGATGTAGTGGGGATTCTCTTATTAAGATTATGTAATCTATGCTGATAAAGTTATTTGAACTTTGAGTTAGGAGAATAGAAACCGAATACTACACAGTACACTAGAATTTACTAGCCACAGTAGCCAGTTGCTAAAAGATAGGACAATACTGAGCTTGGTAACACTTGTGTTAAAACCCTTTGTTGCACCAAAAAAAGTTGCATGATCATTTGGTATTATATCTTTTGCACAGGTTGACTATATAAAATTAAAAGTTTAAATAACCAGTATATGCATGCTCCAATTCTGAACAGTTATATCCTATAAAAACCAAGCATATTCTAATTTCAATGGATATATGATTCAGTAGTCTGTACATCAGTGGTTGATTAGAACAGGAAACAAGGTGGTAATTACTGACCACAAAATACCATAACAAGCACTGACAGTGGATATTAGTGTATGTTAACTTAAATGAGAATAATGTTACATTATGGATGTGCATACAAATTATAACAGATATTGAGAGGGCACCAAAATGATTTATATTACAGTCATGTCAAATTGCTATACTCCAGAATGAAGATGCCCAGAATTATCAGACTCGTTAAAATGTGACAATTGTTTATACAAGAATGCAATAGTGTTCTTTTGTATTCTTAAAAAAATTATTGGTTTGAACAATTCATGATGATTTATATGAAGATATTAACATAATATGCTACATAATTTTTTATTTGTAATTAAAGATGACATAATAGAATAATAAACTTAAAGTTCATTGTACATACAGTTGTTTTTTGTTATCATTTGTATCTCAATGATCTGGAAGAACTGCTTAATTAGTGAAGTTTAATCATAATAATAATACTAACATGGTCATTGAAGCTTAAGTTGAACCACTTTTTAAGTTTTAGGGTTTAAAAATGATTTAACCTATTCACTGCAGCTGGGTATATTCCCCAGTGCTCTAACCCCTTTACATTGTGAATGGGACAAATGTTTCCCCGTTGTTGATGCTGTTTACGCCTTCCTCTGCTGGGTTCAGGTTCATCATATTGACTATCATCACTAAATAGAGAACTAGCATCTTCTTGTCTCATTGCTTCTTCATCTTGATCAGATGTGGAAAAATTTTAAAGATAACTTTTTAGATATTCAAGGCAAACATATTCCTTATAGAAACAAAAGGGTAGCTGCAAGTAAAAAAACAGGTTGGCTTGCAAAGAGTTTAAGAAATAAAATTAAAGAAAAGCATCATACATTTAAGAAATTTAAATTGATTGGTATGACAGGAGATTTATAAGATTATAGAATATCAAGAAAGCTGGTGAAACAGGAAAATAGGACATCAAAAAGGATGTATGGAAAAGGTTTGCTGAAAATATAAAAATTAACAGTGAGAATTTCTTTAAATACATTAAAGGTAAACAAAATGTTAGGATGGGGATAAGACCCTTGAGGGATGATAAAGGAAGGCTAGTATCTGATGAATATGAGATAGCTGGGTTACTAAATTTTGCTGTTTCTTCCATTTTTACTAACAAAGATTTAAGCAGTATTCTCCATCTTGAACAGTTGATAGACGGTTAAGAGCTGGTTAAGAAAAAATTGGGAAGTTTAAGAAATGATAAGGATCCTGGGAAATATAATATTTCTCCAAGGGTTTTGAAGGAAGTTAAAGATTGGATATGTAAGCCACTTACTACTATTTTTTTTGCCAGTCATTGAATAGTGTGCAGGTACCAGAGGATTAGAAGTTAGCTAATGTAACTCCTCTTTTCAAGGGAGGTGATAAAAATTGTCCCAGTAATTACAGACCTATTAGTCATACATCAGTTATGGGAAAAGTTTTAGAAATTCTGTTAAAAGATGCTTTGCAAAGTCATTTAACAAAGTTTAGAATTTTATTGGATAGTCAACACCATTTCACTGAGGGAAAATCTTGCCTTACAAATCTTTTAACATTCTTTGAAAAGGTTACTGCTTATGTAGATGAGGGTAAGGGTGTAGATTTGGTGATCTGGATTTTCAGAAAGCATTTGACAAGCTGCCACATAAAAGACTTGTAAAAACAATTAGCTCTATAGTTGTGGGGGATAAGTGAGCAAATTGGATGGAAGAAAGCAGAGGGTTGTTACAAATGGAGTTCAGTGAAACTGGATTAATGTCACAAGTGGGTTACCTCAGGGCTCAGTATTAGGACTCTTTTTGATTTACATCAATGACATAGATGAAGGAATAGTCAATGAATTACTTAAATTTGCAGATGATATTAAGGTCTTGGGTGTTGCTGGCTGTGAAGAGGATGCTGCTGGTTTACAAAAAGATTTAGATCATTTTGTGAGTTGGGCAAATAAATGGCAAATAGGTTTTAATTATAATAAATGCATGTGGGATATAATTTGAATTATTTCATTTTTCTTCATTTAAGTTTTATTGTATAACCTATTATATTTTGAATTTTTACATTTTAGTTGCTTTTGTTAAAATATACATAAAAAAAATTATCTCAACTTAACATTAGGTTGGTTTGCACTTTTGCTTGCTTTTGTAAGCTATTCTTTCTATGTTCATTGTCCAAAAAATAATTCATGTAGCTTTAAAATGTACTTTATAGAACACAAAATAATATTCCAGACACTAAAATAGAATGTCCCAAAACTACTGTAATTCTTACTTTTAACTAAGCTATAAATAAATTAGAAAAATTCCATTACTCTTCTTAGTAGTGACTTCATTCCACACACACACATCAAGATCTATTTGTGAAATAGTGGTTTAAAACAATGTCATGAAGATCACGTAATTCATAAAATGGTTTTTCTATTGGTTTTTAAGATTTACTATTGACAAAGAGGCAAGTAAGTGATTTCAAAAGCATTGATTTTAAGGATTAGCTTCTGTAGTGGGTATGATAAATTTATTTATATCTCAGAAAATAAAGAAGGTTGGAGGTTCTTATTTTATATTCTGGCCTGTAAGTATCTAATGTTTATGTATCTAGTTGGTGGACACTCTGAGGCCCATATAAGGGAAGAAAGATGATTTATAAATATTTCAGAGTACACAGGGTCACATGACATAGGGAGTGAAGAATGAGAATTTATTTAAATATCTCCATTTGAAATTAATAAGCTGAAACATGGAAGATATAAAAATTTGAATTATAAACTGTGCTTTAATGCCAAGTTTATTGAAATACACCATATTAATTAAGTTTTGAATGTAACTTTGTGAAAAGGTTGTGCATATTCTGATCCCTCCTATATCCAGAGTTTTAATCATTTTAAAGATTTTTCCTTCAATTTTAGAATTACATTTTTTATTGCTATTCAGAAAGTTTCATTTTATATATTCAGTCATTTTCAACTTGATTGATATTCATTGACATATTTTTTTTATAGTTTAGTAATTAACTTGATTAATCCATATAATTAATTACCTGTGAGCATTGATTAGTGTCATATACAATAATTGATTAATCAAAATTCCAATACGTACATACCTCCGTTTCCACTTATAGCTATTATTCAACTGCCAGAATTTCTTTCTTTGCTCATCTAAGCATTGGTCTGATTTTTTTCTTACATGTTCCAGCCTTTTATACCCCACTTAATTGCCATTTGTGATATTTGTCTCATAACATTCTTGCCCTCTATCCTGATACTGTATATAAGCACCTCATTCAGATAATACTATCACTTTTTCTCAACAATGTGTTATTAATGGGTTTCACAGTATTATGATTGTTTGTAGATACTTTGACCATTATCAGTGTTATCTTGTTTATTTATGTAATATTATTCCGATTGGCAACCCGATTTACAGCATGAATTCTTGGATTATTATTATTCCCACATCTGATATCTAGTGTCACACTACAATTACTCTCGGTTGAAACTGTCTGTGATCTTATTCATAGTGAGATGGAGACATATATTCAGTCCAGGGGTGTTCTTCCAGGAGGCTCCAAGGCTGCAATTGAGGGGGGATCCTCAACATTCTGGAGAGAATTTAGATTCATTTTTTCTTGTGCCTTTTAGTTTGGTGGCTTTTCAATCCCCCTATGGGACAGTGGTGAATTTATGGACTTGCAACACTGAATATGGGGTTGATTCCCTATAGTGGACAGAAAAGATAGCCCAATGTTGTTTTGTTTTATCAAAACAAAACAACCTAACCAAATGTTATTCCAGTCAACAGTAATCAACACAGTCTTTAATTGACATAAAAAATCAATAAGGAGGACACTTTGGGATAAGCTGTTTTGATTCGTCTACTTCTGTTGGTTCATCAAGAGGGTGATATTTTGTGTCTTTCCCTAGTTGGTTTTGGACCTGCACCTTACTCGATGGTTGAAAGGTGTGGGAGTGAATTTTTAGTTTTATCTCCATCCACGGATGCTGGGAGGTTTGCTTCTCAGCTACATGAAAGGACAGTTCTGCCTTATCTGATATGGTTGTTGGAACATCGTGATTTAGTATACCACTGCGAGATGGAAGCATTTTCCAACTCTCAAATAGTACATCTGTTCCTCAAGTTTCGGGGTTCTAAGGCGGAGTTTGTAGTTAACTTGAATAAATCAATGTTCCCTGATGGGATGGCATAAGTCTCTAAACTTACAACTCTAAAATCCAACATTTTGTTTTCCTTTCACTTCTCTTTGTTGGAAGACTCTCAGGATCACCAATTTTATTGATGATGAGCTGGAACCATTGTTAGCATGTACATTGGTTCAATTGTTGGCTTCTACATTCATACCTGTTGTCGTTGCCATCTCGAATTTTATCGTTTTCTACCAGTGGTCACAGTTCCGCCCCTATTCATGGGTCCCAACTCCTAACATCAATCCCTTGGTTCATTAGTACCCAGAATAGATTCTGTTGACATCCAAGGGATCTGCTGCTTAGTTGGATTGCTGCCAATAGTGATGCTGATTATTGTATGTGGGGGCTCAGCTCCGAGAATTTCTGGACATGTGATAATATTAATCATGGATCCAGGATCACTGTAGGTTTTTAAGTCAGGAGTAGTCATTCAATTCACATCTTCACCACTATTATTCATCTAACTTTTAGAGTTTCTGACTCCCATAGATCATTGAGATTTGGAACTTAGTTCTAGGGCTATCAGAGTTTGTTTGTTTTGGGAGTAGTGAGAGAGTCATGCTTGTTCTTCAGAGGTTTTATTCCTGTTGGCTGTTGGGCCTATGCAGACAGGAGATTGGTGTTCAGTCATTGATCTTTCTCCTCGATATCAATGCCTAGATTCTCCAAGGTTCACAAGTCACTCGTTCCTCAGTCTGAGCTGACTTTTTTTACTGGATTATAGATGTCCAAGTATGTTGTAGTCTGCTTCTTTCTGCAAATTGCCATTGTGGTGGAGCCCCACCACTATTGGCATTTGTTGTGCACAAGGGTCTGCAGTTCCATGTTTTTACCTTTGGACTTGCATTGGCTCCACAAGGCTTCCATTGCACTGTGCAAACATCATTATATGGACTGAATGACTGGTTACTGCTGACACCATCTCGTCAATTGTCAGACTACCACATCCTGATTCTACTTTCAGAAACAACCAAGACAGGCATCATTTTCAGTACTGAAACTTCTATTCTTGCTCCAATTCCATACTTCATCAGTCTGGGTATTTTTTGTATTTCATCACGTCTCTCGGTCATTCTTAGATGTCTCCCATTCAACTCAAAACTATTGAATAAGTCGCCTGACTCTTACTCACCTCTCCTTCTTTCACTGTATTTATGGTTCTTTCTTTTCTGGGAATGTGGGCATCACCCACATACCTCATGCCTTTAGGACGAGAGCACAAGAGATCCATTTAATGGTCTTTATGCAACCAAGAGATCATAAAAATTGAATCACTGGATTCCCCAATTTCCTTAATTGGGATCATTCTTCAATCTCTAGGGGTTATTAAGTCAGGACACTACAAGGATATGGGTTCCTCTACTGCCACCACGTCCAGAGTTCCATCTCTTCACGAATGCCTTATTTCAGAGACCGGGTGCATATACCAACAGTCAGGAATTCCAGGGTCTATACATGGAAGAACAGGATTCCATACACGATGTTTTAGTCCTTCTTGCTCTTCGACAGGCAATGCTTCATGGTCTGGGCTTATTAAGGGAAAAATCATCAGACTTCACTCTGACAATTCTGTGGTGGTATCTTGTGTTTCTCTTCAAAGAGGCACTTGATATAGGGTTCCTTGTTTTCAAATTTTGAACTTTCTTTCTCAGAACCAGTCCTATTTTATCACCCTACCAGCTTGCCATGTTCCATGGGTGTTGCGTGCAGTAGCAGGTCAATTGTCTCAATCCAAACAGATTCTCCCTACAGAATAGATGTTGCATCACAGGGTTTTGTTAGATTGGCTCCCATTTTGCAACTCTGATTGGTAGGTTGGCCTCTCATTGGATCATCCAACTACTGGCAATTTGATCTCCAGTACTTCATCTTCGGGCACCCATGATCTGACATGGTACACCCAGCTATCCAGAATCTCAAGCTGCAGGCATGGAGGTTCTGCAGTCATTTGCACAGCATCAAGGTTTAATTTCTAGGGTTGCCATCTATCTGTCTCAGTTTTTGCTTAGTCCCGATATGAATATTTCTCAACAGAAATGACACTCATATTGGCAGAGGAGGTTGAACCTATTTCAATCAGAAGTGTCAACCATAACCTGTTTCTTGACTTGGCTCTTTGGCAGAGATTTTGCATCTTCAACAATGGCCCTGTTTAAGGTGGCCTTATAAACTACAGTTTGATTCTCGCTACTACATATTCTTTGAGTTCCTAATCCTCTCCAGATTTCTCAAGTCTCTCTGGGTCCTTGGTCCCAAATAACCAATCTTATGTTGACACACTCATGATCTAAGCAGATGCTTTTTGTATGAATAATGTCCTCACCAGCCCTACCACTTTATCAATGTGGGATTCTAGTTATAAGTAGGACAAGAGGTAAGTATGTTTTGGAAGATAACATTTTCCTAGATTGAAAATGTATTTGCAACACTGCTTACTTCCACTGACATTCTCCCACCCTTGCTCCCCACTAAGAGCCAGTGTTAGAGACTGGGATTGAGTCAGTCTCGAAAAAGTGATAAAATTATCTGAATCGGGTACTTGTATACAGTACAAAGATAGAGGGTGCATTGACATAGGTAGAGAGTGTCACAAGACAAATATCACCAAGGACAATTGAGTGGAGTATAAAAGACTGGAGCAAGTGAGAAAAAACTAGTCCAATGCTTAGATGGGCTAAGAAAGAAACCCTGGTGGTCGAGTAATAGCTATAAGTGTCAGTAGAGGTAAATGTTATTGGAAATACATTTTCAATTTAGGAAATTTAAATTTTAAATTTTTATATATGTACAAATGGCTTAAGGTTGATATGTCTATTACAAATCATCTAATTTTTTTTTTCAAATGGTAGTAAAAAATGTTTTGTTATGGGCAAGGTTCAAAAAGACTTTTAACAACTAGTAATACTGAGCTTACTCATTACGATACTTATAGGTATTTTCAAAAATGTTAGATATTACATGCTATAATGAGCTATACAGTGGTATATCAGTAGTAATGCATCCTAAAAGTACTTGATGTATTACTTAAATATACCATTTTGAATGATTTATGTAACATTAAAAAGACCAAAAAAAGTTATAGTGGTTTGTTTATAGATACTACACATTATACATTTTTTATTCATAGCTGAGAGAAAAAGTATCCCAGTCTTTTAATACACCTCTAGAACAAGTGTGTCTGATATTTGCTGGAAAAATATTAAAAGATCATGAAACATTAGGAACTCACAGTAAGTATATGTTCTTGTAAGCATGCATGTTGTATTAGATATTTAAATACTGAAAAACTTGAAATTTGTGATAAAAATTTAAAGTTATCACATGTTGTGCGACATATTTTTATTGTGATACTCTGTAATAAATGAATATGTGGTGATTATACTAATTATGATGTTTAAAAAACAAATTGGGGTATTTTATTTCATTTTATACAGTAGTTTTTTCAACTATTTAAAAATGTTTAGCTCTTATGTTTAAGTAGTAAGTTCTATAAGGATGATTCTATTAATGAATATTAAAGTTGAACTATAGAAAGATTTTCTCTTTTGAATAACTTGCCAGCATAATTAAACAAAGCTACAGTAAAATAAAGTGTTGGCAAAGTCTCTTGCATATGCAAAGAATTTTAACACTTAAGCTTATTAGCTTGGTTATTGGTATATTATTCTGTGTACATATATGTTACAGTATTCATATGTCTTACACTTTAGTGACAGATATCTTAATTTGCTCATCCATATTTCAGATTTAGTTAGCTCTGGGGCCTAGTGATATGAATTGTTTGTTTTTAAAGTTATCTAAGGAACTCTCAACTTTATTAGCTTTTTCAATTATTTTGTGAAATAAAGAAACTATACTGAACAGTCAGTCAGTCCTTCTAATCACTGATATACAATATGTTTACATTTAAAAAAAATGTGGGACTGTAATGAAACTTAAACAATAACAGTACTAAGGAAGCCCTTGAGATGCAGAGTGCACTTGCTTGTGTGCTTGCTAGGAAGAGTAAGTTTGAGATAACACATTTCTTCTACTGCTACACTGTAGTCAATTAAAATCTGAAATAGAAGAACTGAATATTGAGTACTTTTATATAATTGTTTGTTTGTATATTTATATATACACACTTTCATATGTATATATATACACACACACACTTTCATTGAGAAGCTAGAGAATTGAAAAGGAATTTAAAAAAATGTTTCTGTGTACTGGTGCTTATTTAACTTTTATACACAGATAGCCCATTGTGTACCTTTGTGCTTAATTACAAACAACAACAATAGATCTTGGTAATTTAGTGTTTTTAAAGTAACAGCAGCCAAGATCAAGTAGTTTATTGCATTGTTGTTAGAGCTTTGTGATTAAATAATCAAAATATTGCTCTTCAACATTGTCTAGTTAATTTAATTACTAACAGACCCTAAATTATTTTGTATTTTTTAATACCATCAATATAAATCAGAAAGCAAGTAAATGAATTTGACAAAGCATATATACACATGCATATATGAAACACCTATGGTATCTATATTTAGTAAAATTTAAACAACTTTAAAAAGACAATTCTGCTTGTTGAAATTAACTTTGTATTTCTGAGTTCTACTCTGTTAATCCAGAAGATTTGTAATATGAACAAATGTTTTATTCAGAGAGAAAGTTGTTGTGATATCTATTTAAAGATGTACTTTATTACTGAAATTTTAGAAACTTTTACAATTGATAAGCTAAACAGCACTCCATGTAGACAAATGTAAAGACAGTTATACAATGATATGCTTCAAGTCTTAACATAATGGATTTTTTGAAGGAACAAAAAATGGTTTGACAATTTACCTTCTTATATTATGTGGTCACAGAAAGATTGAACATTTTTCTAAACATACAAACACTAATATTCCAAAATACTATTTTTAACAATGACATCCTAAAATCTGCTACAAGACACACATTTACCCACATTTTTGAATTTAGGATTCAACAAAGTAAGAAGTAAAAGACTCTGGAAAATAAGTTTCAGCTTTTCCAGTTTAAATATTTTATTCCTCATTTTGTTTCCCACAGTTGCATGTTTATATGCACTTACACTTTTTTTTTCAACTAACTAGATATTAAAGATGGACTGACTATTCATCTGGTTGTACGTTCTGCCACAAGAGTAAGTTTTGGGTGTTATAACTTATTTCTTAATTGTAAAAGAAATTTGTATGTTAAAGAAAGACCTTTTATATTTTCACTTTAACTTTCAGTAAAATTGTCAAACTACTAAAGTATATGAAACCTTATATAAATTTATATTTTGAACATGTTTAGTAATATTTGTTTCTCCAACTAACCCTGTGAAAACTGCCTCATTCAATTTGGCTGACTTTATAACTACCAAATAACCATGAAACTGTACATACTATAACTGAATGTACTAAGTTATATCTTCATGAAATTTGGCAAGCTTTTAGTAAATATCACAAGTCTGTTATAAAAAAATCAAATTATTTAATATAGTATTTTTACTAAAAAATTATCTATGAATTTATGATGACTTTACTGAGTCAGTTTGGGTGCAATGTGATTTTTATGCTAAAAATAAATATTGGAATTTTCATCTTACAGTTATTAATTTCATTTGCATAACCTCTAGAACCTCCTAAATGAATATCAATTATTTTTGGTAAAGCTTCATACTGTATCTCTTATTTTCTTAACTTTAACACTAACTGTAGTGAAATCTTCAAGATACACAGAAAGTAAAATTTGAAAAATATGAAGTAAAATCAAAAATACTTTTTTTTTTCTACAATGACTGCATATTATAACAGGCGATTACATTATTTATCCAAACAGTCTTGGATATCTAAACTTTTCACATCTGCTTTCTCTTAGTTTAATTGCTTTACATTGCTATTAGACATCTCTCAGTATGTGAAACACTTGTATATCACAGCAGAATAGCTTTATGTTAACAAATGGATATCATGGACCTCACATCTCATGAGCAATTTATTACATTCTCTTATGTAACATGTTTTTAACTTTTATATTTTTATTATCTTTATTAAAAATATATAAGAATAAACAGAAAATATAACATGAACAAGAAAATAAGTAGACCATAGACTATATTTGTACTCGGACATATATTTCAATAAGATTCTCTTCGAAGTGGATTCCTGTACTTGGTGATGGAACCTGTCAGGGAAGGTTCTGTCTCCTTAGTTTACCTCCTCTTGGATTTAAACAGCCTCCAACTTTTTGCCATGCTTGGCATTCTGTGAAAGGGAGGAGAGAAATCCTAGTGGTGGAGGGGTGTTACTTAATAGGTCAGTGTATATCAGTGGCACTTTTACACATCACTTTGGCATGAAAAACTGTAGACGGGTGGCTTTTTCATCATCAATCGTCTGGTCTTGTTATGGACATGGAGTCTAATGCAGGTGTTTGGGTGTAGTGCCCAAGAAATCCTGGCATAGCTACAGTGTTGCATTGTAGTGTATTCCCCTCATTGGGCTCCATAATGGGTGGGGTCCATTATAATGGATCCCTCACCGAGTGATTAAAAAACTAGAATAAACCCACGTTGATAGGAAAGTGGCCACGTTTAGAAGATTCTGATCAGTAGTCTCCAACTGAATCTGTTCCTGTACCTCAATTTCTGATCATGCATTCTATGTCTGATAAACCATTCAGAATGGATTAGAGGGTCATGCTGGCTCTCCTAAGTCAGTTAAGAAGCTATGTTCTGGGGACATCTTGGTGGAAACACTTGCACTAAAACACAGCAAACACCTTCTGAATTTGAAGGCCATAGGGGATATACCTATTAAGGTTACTACCCATGCTACTTTGAATTCCTCCTGCGGAGCAATTATTGAGAGGGATTTAAGGAACATCCCTGAGTTGTAGATTCTACAGACAAGGAATTTCTGTTGTGCAACGTATTTCCACTCATAAAGAAGGAATTATGCTGCCTACCAATGTTTGTATACTGATGTTTACATTGCCAGTCTACTTGACACTTTTAAGGCAGGTTATCCGAACTATAAGGTACAGCCTTATATTCTTAACCCTCTCAGATGTTTCCAATGTAGTGGTTTAGAAATTCAAAGACATCTTGTCATGGTTCTTTGACATGTGCTCATTGTGGTGGAAAATACCGCAATGCCTACGAGTGTCAATTGAACCCTCACTTCATCAATTTTGGTTCCCACCCCTTGTACTATTGTTTTTACCCTAAGTGGATGGAGGAATAAAAGGTACAAAGTTTTTGTACTGTAAACAACATTTCTTATTCCGAGCCCCATAAGTTGTTGTATCCTGGTCTATTTCAAACATATGCTGTTGTACTCTGTTCCATTGCTATGGTGTGAGTGCAAACAGATCTTTCCATACCCCCATCAGATTCTTTTGTCCTCTGTGAATGCTCGAGTTGAGAAATGTACATCTACTCCTGTCTCCACTATCACTTCCAGTGACTGTTCAGGTCCATCTCCTTCAGCCCTGAGGTGCAGGACCATTATTCGGTCACACATTCTGACAGAGATATGCCCTATCATCCTAGGGCAGGCTCCATGGAGGTCAATAGACCTCTTTCTACTACAGAAAAATATCATGGTCACAAACAGAAGGGTTCTCTGACCAGTTCTCCTCCTTCTAAGTAAAAATGGCCACTTCAATACAGTACAACTGTTCAGATTTTCTTTCTAATTTGGATGACATTAGGGCCTTGATCAATTCCATTCATCCAGTGTGTCTCTCCATGCAAGAAACTTTCCTTTGGCTCACTGATACTGTCACCTTTTGGCAATTTTCCTTGTATAGGAATGACAAGCTGTGTGATGGTTGAGTTGATGGAGGTGTGGCATTGCTGGTTGACCAGCACATACCCTCCATGTCTGTGCCACTCTATATGTCTCTGGAGGCTGTAGCCATCTGTATCTCTGTGAGTTGTACCATCACTGTTTGTTCTTTTTACCTGTGTCCATGAGAGACTTACGATCAATCAGATGTTAATGATCTAATTGACCAGTTGTCATCTCCCTTCTTCATCTTTGGAGACTTTAATGGACACAATCTCCTCTAGGGTGGTGCTGATATTTATGGGAGGGATCATTCTATGGAGCATATGCTCTCAGATCATAACCTTTTTCTATTCAATATTAGTTCACTTACCTATTTTCATGCAACCAGTCAGTCTTTTACTGCTATTGATCTGTATGTCTGTTCACCTTTGCTTTTTCTCATTTTTCTTACAGAGTTGACAGTGGGGCAATGGTCGATGCCACTTGACCCATGTGCCACAATGGAATTTGGAGCAAGCTGACTGACTCTCTCCGAACTAGATCCTGCTGTCGTTAGTCTTCCATCTATTAATGACTGTGTGGAGGCAGTAACTGATTGTATTATTCAAACAGTTGTTTGTTCAATTTCTTAAACCTCAATACATTTCCCATGGTATCCTCATCCATGGTGGCCTCCTGTATATCAGCAGGCATGGAAGGCTCTGAAATGGACCTAGGATATCTTTCAGAGGTATCCCACTTTTTCCAACTTTCCTTTTTTCATGAAGTCTCACCTCTGTCACCCCTTGGAGGAAACTCTTCAGTCAGGCATATGGCCTACTCTTCATATGTTCATCTCCATCTTCATTGCATAGCTCTTTCTTCCTCATCAGGGTGCTACCTTTCCCCTGTTGCCATCCTTCAAATTTTGGTGTAGCTGTGACTGGGTAAGTTATTTTTTCTATATGTTTTTTTCCCCTCCAGGAGTATGTCCCATTTAGGATTTGGATCCCACTCAGTGGCAAGTATTGCCTATCCAGGTTTGCTTCCTATATATGAAATTCACACTGTACGGGAAGATGTAATAACGAAACACAATATACTCATTGTCAATAACACACACTGTTGAGATGGGGGGTGTTCCAAAAGATCGCTAGTAGGTTTTCTTTGTGATATATTTGTTTCACTAATATGCTGGTTCTGGAATGTATTAACCCGTGGACTTACACGGGTAAAGCAGAAGAAGATAGCTGTCCCTTTGACTGAATAAATCAGGGGCAGTCTGCATTTCAATATAGGGTTTTTATGGTCATCCATTCCCATTGTCTTTGATGTTGGTGTTCCTCTGGACTCTCCACCACATTTTATCCCCACTTGTTCTTCTAGTGGAGTATGGGAATCCTTGCCACTTTCTAGTTCCGAGCCATTAGGGAGGTGGATCATGGAGGTATCCTCCTGAATGTGATCACTTCCATTCAATAGAGAGTAGGGTGGTGGTGTTCTGCTGGTGTATTATCCTCCAATCATGTGCTCCACCTCTGTGTAGTGGCTCATGGATGTTGATGTTACACTCTTAACTTCAGTGCGATCCTATCCGGAGGATGATTTGGCTATGGAGTAGATATGTTAGGTTGGGATCCCTTGTCCTACCATCACCTGGATGTCAGTTCCCAGTGAGTGGTTTTGGATTAGAGCTGGACCAATCAACATAAATCCTCCCACATGTGTTGGTTTTGATTCCTCATCCTCACAGCAGTTTCCTAGTTTTGCCTTATATTCTTCACCTCCATGCAATGGTTCCCAGAGGTTGATGTGCACACATGCGCTCCAACTTCTGTCCAGAGGATGATGTTGTCTGGGGCAAGGGTTCTCCCTCTAGCACTCCACCTCAGAGTTTTTCCCATGCCTGAGGCTGCTGTTATGGTGAGGGGTTCCAGTTGGATTGGATTTGGTTTTATTTGAACTGCCACATTGGCATATCCCTTCATACCATCATTCGAATGTTGGGTTCACAGATGTATGGGTGGTTGTGGATTTGCACATATGCACCATTTCGTACATCGGTTTGTCATTTATATAATTCAGTTCTACTCAACTTGAGGTGAAGATGATGTGGACCCTCCTCCTACCATGGGTTGGAAGTAGTAATCCCTATGCCACTTGGTTTTTGACTGGAGTTTACTGGCCATGTATGGTCTGTCACACCCTAGCCATTCTACAACTTGAGGCACATCCATTTTTGTTTTGCCCACATTCCTGTCTATAGATGGTTCTTCTACAGTCTTTCCTCACCAGGATTGAAATTCCTATATATTATGGTTTAGATTCGAACCCACCTTTTAGTTGTGCTCCTCCCACTTTCCACCCATGTATGTTTACACAT